TTCAAGAATGTTAAATAATTCCTCAAAACACACCTTTAAGTTTACATAAGCTAACTCGATGTAAGAAACTAAAGATGTGAAGAGAGAAAATATTAACTTCAACATCGGGACTAACAAATTCCTTCTCTCTAACAAAACCTCAACATACATAGATAAATGCTCGAGGCACATAGGCACAAGACAACTTTACATGTGCGGAATTATAAAGCACAAAAGAGAGAAGAAAAATCACACGATCGAGCCTCTCTTTTTACATCATTACCTCTCTATAGGTAGAAGACTCCCGAATATCCATTGTCTTAGCTCTAATGAGGGCATAGGCTACTAGATCAACGTAAGCATATCTCTAGGGAGGTCTTATTTGTCTCCTCTCTTGACCGGTAGCTATTGAGTACAACTGTTCAACTTCTTTGGTATCTTCATTCATATCTGAATTTTATTGCATATTTGTAAGCGAAGGGCATATATCTAGGGATGGTTTTTGAGGAGTCTTTCTTTTAAACGTCACTCGAAGCTCCACCTTATCCACGACTTTCTCACTTTTTTCTATAGACTCACAAGCAACTTTTCCTACATTAGAGATGACAATTTACCTCGCCTCAATGGAGCCCCACCATACCACGGTCAACGCGGGGATTCCTCGAGTTGTTTGGGGAACGAGTCGGGATGGGGTGCCTCGTATTTATTTTGAATAGGGATAGGGCATGGATGGTATTTTCCCACCTCGTCCCGTTTAGCCCGTTTACCTCATTTCATCGGTAAAATTATAATTATACACTATATAACATCTGTGATTATTGACTCTTAGGGTTTATTTTTTCTATGAACTATCATTTTTTTCTATAGTTTGAAATTTGATAGCAGAATGGGACAAAACAAGATGAAAAAAATTAAATGGGGCACTAGTGTTCCGCGATGATCCCGAGTGCCTTTTTGAGGCGAGGATGGTATGACAAATTGGATGGGGTAAAATTTTCAAGGACGGGACGAGGATAGCCATCCTTGCCCTCGTCTTACCTCATTGCCGTTCTTATCTTTGATGAAGCATATATTTCTCATTAAAAGTAACATCTTTACTAATAATAAATTTGGATGAATTGGGTTCGAGGCACCATAAACGACAACCTTTCACCCTATCGACGATAGCCAACAAATACGTATTTCTTTGCTCTAAGTGCAAGTTTACCATCTTTAACATGATAATAAATAGGATATTCAAATACTTTTAAGTTTAATAAGCACTAGGTTTACCTTACCATACCTCGTTTGGAGTCTTATAATCAATGGTAGTAAAGGGAGAACGGTTGATAAGATAACAAGTTGTGTTAACTCGCTTCGACTCAAAAATCCTTCTCCAAACCCAAATTAGAAAGCATACATCTACCTCTCTCCATCAAAGTCATTTTCATGTGCTCTATCATCCTATTTTGCTGAGGAGTGTATCTAAGCGTACGATATCGGATAATCCTAGAGTTTGAACAAAACTCATTAAAATTTCCACCATAGAATTTCAAGCCATTATTTGTTCGAAAATGTTTAACCTTTTTTCTTGTTTGATATCTACTAAAACTTTCCATTGTCCGAAGATTTCAAAAACATCACTCTTATGTTTGAGAAAAAACCAAAACCTTTTGAGAGTAATCATTAATAAATGTTAAAAAATAAAGTACACCATATTTGGATGGAACCCGAGTTGGTCTCCATAAATCTAAATGAATATAATTAAGTGTGCCCTTTATAGAATGATTGTCGATATAGAATTGCACTCTAATTTGCTTTCCTAAGACACAATGCTTACATAAATCAAGTGATGTCATTTGATCACCACAAAGCAAATCATGTTTACTCATTGTAGTCATACCTTTCTCACTCATATGGCCCGGACGCATATGCCACAATTGACTCCTTTCCTTTTCAAGATAGGAAGTAATTACCCCTATAGAGCTCATTCATTGTATTACCTTGTAACACACAAAGACTATTAATTTGAGTTGCTTTTATCAAAATCAAGAAACCCTTAGAAACCTCAAGAATTCCACTTTGATCGGAGTAGTTATAACCTCTCGAATCTAGATAGCTTAAAGAAATTAGATTCTTTTTTAAATCTTGTATATGTCTCACTTTCGTCAAAGTTCTCATAATCAAATCATGACACCCGATATAAATTATACCAATACCAGTCATCTCACAAACTAAATTATTACCCATTAGAACAAAACCACCACTTACAGGTTTATAAGTGGTAAACCACTCTTTATTTGGACACATATGATAAGAAACACCGGTATTCAAGATCCATTCTTGATTAGAATGACCATCTAGAGTACATACGGTAAGAACACTATTAGCGGCATCAACATCGGTAACCTTTGCCACATCGGTAGACCACTATGGTTTCTCCTTCTTCTTTAAAGCGGGACAATCGATTTATAATGTCCTTTCTTGTAACGAGTAGTAGCACTTAATATTTTTTTATTCTAATCGGAGAGTGTTCTAGACTTAGAACAAAATTTGGGTTTTTCTTTATAACCTTCTTTATCCTTCGTTTTCCCCTTACTAGCAAATCATCGGTCCGACTATCAATAGCTTTACCATTCAACTTATGTCTTAGTTCAGTAGAATTCAAAGAGGCTTTAACATCCTCTAAAGTTATAGACTCTTTACCATATAATATTGAATTAACAAAATTCTCATACGAAGTAGGTAATGAACACAATATAATAAGAGCTTAATTTTCTTCATCAAGTTTAATATCAAGATTTTGCATATCCATAACAATCTTATTGAATTCATCAAGGTATTCATAAATAGACGTACCTTCTCACATCTTTAGTGTATAAGGATGTTGCTTCAAATACAATCTTGTTGTAAGATATTTCTTCACGTAAACGCTTCTCAACTTCTTCCATAGTCCCCCGCCGTCTCTTCATTTGTAACTTCTCGTAGTACCTTATCTAATAATGATAATTGTAGAAGCACTTATGAGCCTTCTCATCCACCTCTTCAATTTCGACGGAACTCATGTCATCCGGTTATATACCTTTAATTATCTTAATAGAATTTTCACGTTGCAACAAAGCTTTCATCTTTATTTTTCATAGGCCAAAATTATTTTGATCATAAAAAGGTGAAACATCAAATTTTAGAGTTGTCATTACGAACAAAAAAACCCAAAGATGCACAACCTATGCTCCGATACCAGTTTATTATGACAAAAAAAAAGACAAGTAATGACAAGTAATAATCAAAAGATAAAGCTAAACAAATTATCAACACATAAGATTTACATGGTTCGACAAATTGCCTACTCTACGGGTGAGAGAAAAGTTTTATTAGCTTGATAGTAGAAGAATACATGAACCGTGGAGGCTCGATACAAAGTTTCTATCTTTTACTCTATTTACTAAATAGAGATATAAAGAGGTTTAAATACCTTATATGTATAAATGAAAAAACCTAATGGACTAAATATATTATTAGTTCATAAAATTCAAACTACACACAACACTTCAAGATAAAGTTCATGTTAATATGTTGACAAAATTAATAACGCTTGAGAAGAATAGATTATGTGTCAAGTATAGCTTACCCGAATTATGGATGATGAGTTGAGATTCTCTCTTTATAAACCAAAGAGAGATTTGCTATTTGTATACTATAGGCGTAGTCCAAGAATGACTTTAACATAATTTATTAAGAAATTAAATAAAAAAGAACTAGAATTAACAAAGAAAAGAAATTAAAGGACTAAAGATGCATATGTCAATGGCAGTGGAGGATTACAGAAAGAAATAAAGGGCTTGTCGTTTCGTATTGGCTGACGTATATACAAAAGATTCTTTTATATGCTTATGCTGTCACAAAGAGCAACAGGAGAGGAAAGAAGTTTTTGTTTTGCCGATTGACACGATATAAAAGAGAATTAAGGATTTCATGATAAAATTATTAGAGTTCTTTCTGGAATTTAAATACTAAGATCACACATTTAAGGCGTTCAAAATAGTAATCTTATATAGTATTAAATTAAAAAAAAAATTTTACAATTTTTTATTTTTGTAGTGAAATAGATTTAAATTAAAAAATAACCTATAATAATATCAATATTTTTACTTTTTAAATTCATGAAAAAAATTAAATAATTATATTATTTTTTTTGTAATAATGAATTATTTTAAAATTAATCTAGTTGTTTTTTCCATTTATAATAAAAAAGAATTTCTACATAAATTTAAGATTGTTATAGTTATGATTGATTTATTTTACACTTTTAATTATTAGACATATATTTGACTTAATAATTATTTTCTAACTAAATCTTATATAGTATTAAATGAAAAAAAATAAAATTTTACAAATTTTTTTATTTTTATAGTGAAATAGATTTAATTGAAAAAATAACCTATAATACTATCAATATTTTTACTTTTTAAATTCATGAAAAAAATTTAAATAATTATATTATTTTTTTGTAACAATGAATTATTTTAAAATTAATCTAGTTGTTTTTTTCATTTATGATAAAAAAGAATTTCTACATAAATTTAAGATTTTTATAATTATTATTATGTTTTTATGATTGATTTATTTTATACTTTTCATTATTACATATATATATATATATATATATATATATATATATATATATTTGACTTAATAATTATTTTCTAGCTAAATCTAATTTAAATGAAATAAAATAAAATTTTATTTAGGCACAAATACATATATAACCGTCCAAATTACTTGCATATCTAGCCCAAACACTAAAATTTCAGCCATCACCCTAGTGGAAGTCTAGCATGTCAACATCAATATTGATATCTGCAAGACTATTAATTCGAACAAGATATAATTAACTAGCAAACAAATTATTATATTCAAATAATAGACATTGGCAAAGGCATTTTCCGCATCACAATAGCAGGAAATTTTGATCCAATTCCACTCCTGCCCCATACATATCAACAAACCCCTCCCTCTTAATAGCATAATCCAAAAAACACCTAAGAAGAACTCAAACCAGCAGATTTTTTAGCCCGATCATCCATATGATAATCACAATAATTCCTAATAGCAGTTAACTCGTAAGGTGAAGTATCAAGAGCCAGCCACTGCTCAATAGTAAATTTCATCTGTGAACAAGTGGCGTGGACTCCAGTTTTGGTCACCTCTACGTAGTTAACATACCACCCATGACCTGAACCTGTCCCATCAGAGGTTAAATTCAAGGCACACACTGGTGACCTCAAACATGGTGCTCTCCCACTGAAAATGTCTAAATTGTGCCTCTCGAAGTAGTCGTGACCTGGCTCCATCAGCCCTCCCCATGCTTCAATATTGGAGATCCCCACGTAATCACCATACATGTCGTAGAATCTAACGCTTATGATCGAGTCCGTCCCACCTTTGAAGATGGACCCTGTTCTTATGTACAGCGTGTACACGCAGTCTTCTTCCTGCAAGAGATCAAAAAAGATTAAAAAATGAATAGAAGATTGTTTAGAGAAAAATAATTGAAGGGACGTAGATGGGATAATGGGATTTTGAGAGGGCATCTTACAGATAAGGCGATGGTGGAGAAGGAGACGAGGAGGAGGAGAGAGAGGAGTAGAGTGTTAAGCGACATATTTTTTTCTTTTTGGCTTTGTTGGTTGGGTTGATATAACCAAACCTGGTTGGTATTGTCTATTTATTTCTGTCTAACTGAGATTTTTGTGGTGTGTGTTGCTCTATAGTTGTCTTGAAAGGGGAGGGAAGGGGTAATTAAGGAAATAACCGTGGATGTCAGTTTGTAAATGCAAATACGTTTATCTATATAATGATATCAGATGATGGTATGAATAAGACTATCAAGAGATTAAATTCGGATTACATCATAATAGTAGGTTTGAATTCAATTTATTTAATAAATTGATTAAAATAGATTTTATAAATTCAAAATTGGATTTTACAATTGTGGATTCGAATCAAAATTATAACGAATTTGGATTGTATTTGAATTTATCATTCCATTTTTTTTAAAAAATATTGATTATATTTTAATTCAAATTTATCATTCCATTATATTTTAAAAATTGTATTATTAAAAAATTGCTATTAATTTTAGATTGAATTATTATTAAATGGAATAAAAATAAATCTAAATTTAATTTATTTAATAAACAAACAGGTTAATGGTAATTGGAATCATAATATATATATATATATATATAAAATCAAAGTCAGAATTTGAATTGAGTTCCGATGCATTAATAATCGTGCATGCAAGAGATTCACACACATATCAACGGCAAGAGAAGATCCCACAAATTACAGGCAGATATGTATTATCATCAAAATCACTGCTACCTGGTCAATTATGATTCGTATGATGTCTGAAATAATTTTTTTTTAAATAATAGCATAGAAACGTTTTGCAGCACCTAATAGCCATCTGTCCCCTCGGCGTTGCCAAAGTCAACGCAGGAGTTCTGTCACTTTGAAATTACCAGATCGGCCTTGCCAAGTGTCTATCAGAAGTAGCGATGATCATTACGTGGGGGGACACCGTGATCAGAGCGTACACATGCTAAGTGATGAAAGAGTGAATTTCCTGGCTATAATTATTGTTTTTATTGGATCTTTCTTTAATTTTTGGGCAGAAGAGAGAGAGAGAGAGAGAGAGAGAGAGAGAGAGAGCTACATCTATTTTTTCTCGTTGGCTCTTGAATTTTGATTGAGAAGAGGGGCATATTCTAATGGTAGCAAAAAGGTGCCAAGTGATGGAAACCAGTTGTTTAGGTGGCAAATTGGTCAGTACCATACTGCCTCTTGATCATTCATTTAAGCTAATGGACAGGGGTAACATTTGGAAGATTTGGGCCTTTGGGGGTTCAGGGCCCTGACCCAGGCGAGAGTAAAAATGTTCAGAAGTCCAGATACATATGGGCTGTATCTTAATTGACATTGGATTAATATGTAGTCTCTTGTACGATGAAAAACTATTGGGTCGAAAACAAATCTTTTGGTCTTGTAGATCTAGGCCTGCCCTGACCTCTCTGATCTTATACTTTTTACATTTTGTGCCGTGTCAGAAAATTCGGCACAGGAAGAATGAAAGTATAGTATCTCAACATGACCGAGGTTGGCTGTAACAAGGATGTAACTAAAATTTTAAAAATTTTGAGGTGCATATTAGTAAGATCATAGGAATCGACCAAACCCTCTGTCGTTGACCAAGTAAACATCTAAAAAATAGGCTCAAATTGGTGATATACAAATGCTTTATCCTTACAACCAAACTTGAATAACTTACGGGTTGTCAACCTCCAATTCTAACCTTCTATTCTTTTCTCTTATCTGTGATCATACCAATCAACCCCTCATACAACAACCTATTCCCATGCAAACCCTAACTTTCCTCATTTCCCGTTATTACTATTTACCTTTGCCACCTTAACCTCCCTTCTTTCCACCGCTCCCCATCTCCAAATGGAGGAGCGGGTCCGAAATGAAAGTGGTGACAATAGCGAGGAGCCTCCTCTCCACCCAAGACCCCCACCTTCCGACTATGACTTGAAGCCAAGACGTTTTCCATCACGCAAGAAATCGATCAAACACCCATCTCCGCAAGCCATTGAATCGGAAACCTATATTATTCAGATTCCGAAAGATCAAATATTTAGTGTTCCACCACCTGAAAATGCTATCATTGCAGAACGCTACCGCCTCCCGCAAGAGAAGGATCAGAGGTCATGTTGCAAACGTTGGTTGTGCATCCTTGTTACATTGATCTTGCTTGCTCTCATTATTGGCATAATCATATTGACATGGCACATTCTTTTTACCTCTCGAGTTCCTCTCTTCACCGTTGTGAATGTTATTGTCAAGAATCCACCTTCTGCTCACAAGAAAACAAATCCAGGGTACCAAATCACACTCGAAACAAAGAACCCAAATCCAAGGGTGAGCGTTTCTTATGGTAGCAAAGGCGATGCTACATTATTATACGAGAATCACAAGATTGGTACAGGCAAATTCCCGAAGTTGGATCAAGTTTCTGGTAGTTTGAAAAACATTGAGTTAAATCTAACGGGCACAAAGGGAGCATTGCCTGATGATGTTGAAACAAGCATTGAAGACATAAAGGGGAAAAAACATGTCTCCTTATCAATAAAAATGGATGTTCCAATCAAAATGAAAGTTCTTGGGGGGATTAAATTACGGAGTAAGGAAATCAATGTTGTTTGTACTTTCAAAGTGAGCTCTTTGGGGGGAGGTAAGGATGTTCTGTCTCAAAAATGTCAGTCCAAATTCAATTAGATGGTGCTGATCATGAATGATGATGATGACTATAATTGCAGTACTTGGGACCATCAATATCATGCAAATAAAGTTGCGATTTTATTACTTTGGGTGTATAGTGTTTTTCTTTCATTCCAATTTATTTATTTATTGTATGTGGATTATTCTAGTTGGTTGGGATCGATAGGCTTCACATATATTTTCGTTTCGTTTTTTGTGTAGAGAATGTAATCATATAATAATCAATAGCTATAAGTTGCCATTTTTTTTTGCTGCTTGATGCAAAAACTGATGGCCCGTCCCGTATATTGTACTGTCTTGATGAGTATGACACATGCATCCAGATTTATAGTCACTGAACGTTACTTAAGATTGTGAAATTGAATGAATATCAATTGGTTTATGCCTTCCCTTCTTTAAGTCTTAACAAAATTAACTTTGGCATCACTTGTTGATTGTCCTTAGGGCAACAACAATTGCACTAATTTTGTGCCAACTTAGCTACGATCTTATTTATTTATCGTTGGACTTTGTAATGGATGGGCTGCGCGTGATGGGCAATCCCAATCCGAGTCTTAAATTTTGAAAGAACAGTTAAACAACTCCACTCTTCCACTGTTCAAAAATAGAACTATCACGCAACTTGTGTATCAATAAAGTTAAACAGAGCTGCCGGTTTTCCTAATTACACACTCTCTGTCAAGGAAACTCAACAAGAAAAAGACAACTTGAATGGTGTAATACAGGCTAGTGAGTTCAAGATTGGGATAAAAATTTGATAACAGCCGAAGGGATTTTGGATCAGGCCTAGGCCTAAAAGTCCATCAATATGTTTCTTTTTAGGACAAAAGCTCCATCATTACCTTTAGTCTCATAAATTGGCCCATTTGTAAGCCCATGGGCTTAATATGTAGTTTGACGCGGCCGAGCTCGAACTGCCCAGATGTATGGACGAAACTCAAAAAAAAAAAAAAAAAAAAATGCAGGCCACGAGGCGTACAAAAAGAACGGGAATTTTGTCGATTTAATTCCCAACGAAAATTAATTTTCTATTTGGGTCTTCCATCTTCTCGACATTAACCAACGTTAAAATGGAAAAGATAAAGAGCACACTATAAACTATATAAAGATAGAGTTTTGATGGATTGAAAATTAATATATTGAGATTTATACATAAGATGCCGTTGGATATAATAATTTTAAATGAATAACAAATTAGATAAGTAAATAGGATATGCACATCACAGTAAGTGGTTGGAAAATATTTTTATTGGTGAACCAATATATATATATATATATATTATTCTTGAATATTATAAATACCCTCAATTTATCACAGATTTTTATCCAGCAAATGCATGCTAAAAATATCTAATTTTTTTCAACAAACCAATCACTGAATGTTCTATATATAATAAAAATTAAGTAAACGTAAGAAAGCGGATGTCAAACAATTGCTAGTATTAAAAATAATTTTAGACCGTTGTCTAAGCAAGGATGTAATTTGACAACATGTGTCTAGCAGTAAGAAATAAGATCTTAAATTCTTAGTCTTGAGTCATTTTCCATCAAAAGATTGTAGTTAACAGCCGAAAAGGAGATTATCAAATTAAATAGAACAATTATTGTACTTTGTGCAGGATGTTTCATTTTTATAGAAAAGAAAGTAGCTTAAAGGAAGCGGTACTTTGTGCAGGATAGTTCATTTTTTATAGAAAAGAAAGTAGCTTAAAGGAAGTGGTACTTTGAAGAAAGTGTTTGATTAAAGCAAGGAAACTTTAAAAGAGCATTAGCTATATAGAACCATGGACAGCGCAAACTTTTGAGCAGGCTTGTTCCTCTTTTGCTCTTCACAAAATGCTTTACAACTTCGTAATTATGGAAGATTTGAAAAGAAGAGGGATTCACCCAACCTCTTCCTTGCCCGCACTTGCACATGGTTAGTTGAGAAAAAATGCTTCCTCTTTATTGGGTTCAATGTTTGATGATCATTTATCATGTACACATGCTGCTCTCTCTCTCTCTCTCTCTCTCTCTCTCTCTCTCTCTCTCTCTCTCTCTCCTTACTTTAATTATTGTTATTAGTCTATCATTTGTCATCTATGCATGTTGGATTTTTTTTAATCCTCAAAATATCTCAAATTTAAAATATTAGATTAATAATTCGTTGTTGAGAAATTTTATAATACGTAAGGAGTAATTAGTGACATTTACAGTTATTATTTCATGGACTTACTTTGAAGAGAGAGATAAAAAAAAAAAAGAAACAAAAAAGAGAAAATTTGAAAAAAAAAATTGAACGAGTGTGAAAATTTTCTTATCATTTTTTGTAGATTTGAATGTAATTCAATGTGTTTATCTCTCTCTTTAAAATAACATGTACAATTATTATTTCATGAACCCATTTTGAAAAGAGAGATAAAAAAAAAAAAAAGAGAAACAAAAAGAAGAAAATTAAAAAAAAATTGAATGTGAAATCTTCTTATCATTTTTAATAGATCCGAATGTAATTTAATATGTTTATTTCTCGCTTTAAAGTGGATCCCTTAAATAATTACGAGTATATGCCACTAATTATTTATTATGTATTATAAAATTTTTCTTCATTGTTTAACTGAGCTCATAAAATAAACACAGTTGTTTAAAAAGGTTCTTATGTCTATAAAAATTCAAATATAATATTATTTACTTAACGGCTAGGACTAATTATCTGTAATGCATCATTAAAATTCATAAATTTAGTTTCACGCATAAAGAAAAGCCCCAAAACGCATTCCCAATTATTCATCTCTTTCTAATGCATCAATCCTTTTCACCCATGTCAGAGAGATTCTGACCGGAAGAGATCGACTTATGAACCATACAAACATAGTGACTATTCATTGGTTCCCCATAACAAGGGCATCTGGGGACACATGTGAATCCATGTGACCATTGGGTTTTGGCACATCCGACCAATAACGATAGTCAGTCCCATTGACATTTCCCATCTATCTGCGTTTAAGCCAATTCCAAGACAAACTCTCACACTTCCCTTGCCGTCGCTCGACCTTCAATGCGGGACCTGTTCTAGACATGGTCACACGTGTTAAAGATCTGTTTCGAGTACTGCAAGTACGTGACACATGTGCTACAGGACCATCCCGTAGACAGCTAGACCTCTGACACCACCGTACAAATTATAGACGACGTAGCAAAAGCTAAGCTATATATAACCAACCATATATACCAAATCAATTATTTTCGCTGAATGAAAAGCCAAGGGTAAATTATATGTCAAGGAAAAATGGAATGGAAAGCTTAGCAAATCAAATCATATATATATATTTCCTCTATGTCAAGTAAAATAGCTAATAATTAATAAAAATATGTGTAATTCAGTGTGGTTTATTTAACAAAAATCATCCAATTCATTCCAATGATATATATATTTCCTCTATGCCAAGTAAAACAGCTAATAATTAATAAAAATGTGTGCAATTCAGTAAGGTTTATTTAATCAAAATCATCCAATTCATTTCAAATCATTGGTTTATATATATATATATATATATATATATATAGGCAAATTTTATATATCAATATCAAAATAATGATTGTGACAATGTTCCTCTTGAAGGTTTTAATAATTTGACACATTTAAATGTTGCTAATTTGTTTTTAAGATTATGAAAGAAAAGATCATTAGGTTAATGATAATTATTAAAATTAATATCTTGCTACATTTTCTATCGATAAATAAAGAAGTTTTATGTTTTCTTATAATTTTTATTGCATCGTGATAATTATAATATTTATTTGTGTTATTTTGTATTTATTAAGAATATATGGATTTTATCAAGTTTGTAATTGATTTAAACATTATAAAGGCACACTATGTCTCATGGATAGTATAACAACACATAATATATTTAAAATAAAAGGTATTTCTCTAATTTAATGATGGGCAAGGATAATGTTAATACTATATCTAGTAGTGTCAATTTAATTGAAGGCTTCGAAAGAGCAAATATATTATTACCCGAAGGGACAAATTTGATTATAAATGATGTATTATTTTCTCCTAAATCTCATAGAAATTTTTTGAGTTTTAAAGATATTCGTCTAAATGGATATCATATTGAGACAACAAATGTTGAGAATATTGAATACTTATATAGTACAAACAATACATCATGTAAAAAATATATATTGGAGAGATTACCTACTTTCTCTTTTGGCATTTATTACATAATTATTCAAATGATTGAAACAGATGCCATCGTAAACCGAAGTTTACTAATTCTTTTATTCCATGGCATGACCGAATGGGCCATCGTAGATTCATTATGATGTAATTTTTTTTTTTTAAATTCGTATAGACATCCATTAAAAAACCGGAAAATTCTTCAATCTAATAAATTTTCACGTCCTACATGTTTTTAAGGCAAATTTATTATTATTCCATCACCAAATATAATTGAGATTGACTCTTTAGCATTTTTAGAATATATACAAGGTGATATATGTAGATTAATTCATCCACCATATGGATTATTTAGCTATTTTATGGTTTGAATAGATGTATCTACAAGATGATCATATTATCAACTCAAAATCCGACATTTTTTAGATTACTTGCTCAAATAATTCGATTACGAGCATAATTTTCAAATTACACCATTAAAACAATCCGATTTGACAATGCTAGTGAATTTACCTCTTAAGAATTTAATGATTATTACATGTCTATTGAAATAAAAATTGAACGACTCGTTGCTCATGTTCATACTCTAAATGGTTTAGCAGAATCATTTATCAAAAGCCTCCAATTGATAACTTGACCATTACTTATGAAAACAAAACTCCTTGTTTATGTTTGGAGGGATATGATTTTACATACGGCAACATTTATTCGGATCAAGCTCATAAGTTATCGAAATGATCTCTCCTTCAATTGATTTTTGGTCATGAGCCTAGTATTTCTCATTTAAGGATTTTTGAATGTGCGATATATATCCTAATTACTCTTCTATAAC